ATACATGAAAATGATGAAGCTAAAGTACATGCACAATTACAGTGTATATAAAATCTTAGAAATAATTCAAATATTTAGCTGCGTAACTTGAATCCAAACTCCAATTTAACAATCAGACCTTGAAATTCATTAAAACATTCAGCTATCTATTTTTGGTATTCTATTTGCCAATACTTATAGGATCAGGGGTCTGAAAATTGGACCTTTTCATCTGATGAATCCTAGCACAAACATGTGCAAATCAAAGATCGCTTAGTTTTTAAGATCCGCAAACAAATGACCTATCCTAAACATTAACTTAGATTTGTTTAAGTACACACAAGTTTGAGTGATGTGTAAGTCCAAGAACTCATGCTGTTGCAATTGTACTGAATATGGTTGAATTATCTAATTTAAAAAAAAAAAGCAGTTCAAAGTGCGAAAAGAAAAGCTGGAAGAGCAATTCTGCTGGAGTTAGGCTTACAATGACAACTTGGCACAATCTTCTTTGTGATGCCAAACATATATGAAGTAATTTCTTGTAAGCTGAAGACTGTGAAGCAAAGAGAAAAAGATAACAGTTTTCAAAATTGTGAAACAAAGAAAAATCAGATAACAGTTTTAAAGATTGTGAAAAAGAGAATGACAACAACAGTTTTATAATGCCAGGTTTTTTACTTTGGTACAACAAGAATCAATAAAACCAAAGAAGGTAAACCATTGTGAATTCTGACCTCATTTAGTATTTCTGGATTCTGGGAATAAAATGCTGCAGATCAACTATCACTTCTTGGAACTGCAGCAGAACATAATCCATAATTAACTCCACTGATGAAGGGGGCTACGTTTTGGTAAACATTGGTCTGTCTGTTGGTTAGTGGACACGTTTTGATGAATTTTTTTGGAATAGACAATTGGAGTTGAAGAAGTGATTGCAATTTCAATTGCATCTGGGTCTCCAAATATCTATCATCCCTTTCAGCTATTGCCCATTGTGCTGGTCTGTGCTCTGTGAGTACTCTCCAGTTTCTCATGGAATATAATCTATCACTAGTCTGATATCATTATGATATACATGTGAATATGCTTAAAAAATCTCAATAAAGTGATTGAGAGACACTGATTAACAACAGTATGGAATTCTGTGTATAACCAAGATATTCTTTTGTGTAGATCTGAAGCATTTCTTGAATTGAAACCTTTGGTAGGGGAGGGGCATCTGAAAACAGATTTGCCTGATAACCTTGTAATAACCTTACTGTTGTGTTCCTATTTAATATCTCTTTTCAATAGCTTTTTATCACTAACAAGTTGACTCTCTTGAGGACATAAAAAGCTTTTGAATTTTTAGCTCAACAACTGGGGGAATTAACACAATTTCATTAATCTGGTGTCTAGGGTATATCACACAAGGTTATATGATGTATCCCAAGCACAAGTGTGTAAGTATATATCATTTTACATCTGATCTGTTTTCATTTTGCCTTATGCAGCCACAGTAATCTAATTCAATGGAAAAAAAGTATTGATTCTAAAACAAAAGCTCTGCACTGTACATAACAGTTCATGCAAATTGGGTACAATACATTACACATTTATCCCAATTTATTTTTCTTTCTTTTATTTGTCAATCACATAACATTTTCTTGCTCCAAATGTACTTTTCATACACCATACCATATACAGCAGCAACTCTCCACATAATATCTGACATTCAAAAGAACATCTCTGGAGACCTTTGTTCAATTTCAGCAACTTATTGTGCAGAAATCATCAGGGGCTTTTTTATGCAGAAATCACATCAGATACAAAGTTCCCTGTTGCTTTAAATTTGGTCATCACTTCACTGATCACAATGATTGTGTGTCAAAACAACAAAATGGCAAAAAAATCTTACCAAAGCTGTCACTCACAGGTTAACAAGACTAAGCATGTAGCTATTTGTAGGAGACATGTGAAAAGACCACTCCTAGTAGGTCAAATCAGAAATTGAAACTATACAATACAATACAATACAATACAATACACTGTGTGACAGTTATACATGTTCATCTACTTTAATGTTCATGGAGGAGAGAGGTGGTTCATAGATAAATGTCTTTAAAATGTCTTTAAAATTATTTTTATTTATGGAACCATTCCATTTCCTTTTGTTCATGCAGCTTTTTAATGCCTTGCAATATAATAAAAATTGCCATAGCTGTTGATTCATTTAAGCTTAGCACAATATAAAATGTAACAGTAGCAAATGTATCAGATAAACCTGCATCAATTCATCAGACACGGATCATATGGATAAATACACATAAAGACTTAACCAATTTTTTTATTTCGTGTAGATCAATCATTTTTAGACATATTGACTTTCTGACATGTACCTAAATGATCTTTAGGACTAACCAGGTATTAGTGCTGAAGCATCTTCTGGAGAAATGTAACCAACCATTTTTGTTCAAATTAAGCAAACAATTACCACACTTCACTATGGCTTTCATTTATCAACTGCTTAACTGTGCTTAGCCATCTCTCAATACAGGCAAGAGCAGAAAGTTTAAAATGTATTTTTGGATTTCTTAAGAGCAAATATAGAAGTCTGAGTGTCACATTTACAATATCTTAAGTGCTTTGCAAGTCTGACATTTTCAGTGACTGGCTGTAAATAAAGTGGTTCTCAGAACTAGAGGCATGCATGTAAATGTTAAAATTAACACCTAGATGCACTGGTTAGGTCTCTAAAACAGATACAGAAACAGAACAGATTCTGGTGCCTTGTAAATGGGATAAAAGACATACTCTGAATTCTATTAATTATCCACCTTCCATTTTACTTCCCTTAAGAGTTTCCACAAAAGGAAGACAGCAAGTTAGGTAAATACATTTCAGACAGAAATTAACCTGTTACTTCTAATGGATTACTCCTAAAATGTTCCACTGAAGGAAGGCCACAAATCAGGTATACGGATTGGAGGGAAATTCCTATCATAAATAATCATATAATTTTAAAGCTGTTACTAAAGGGAAATCTGGAATTTGTATATGAGCCAGGAAGATACATTTTTTCTGTATTACTAACCTGCAGTTTTAGCAGGCAAGGAGACAGAAGTAAGGAAGAGAAGACAGCTCCTATGCCTGTACATGCATCATGTTCATTGTACTCAAAGGATGCCTCATATAAATATTATTATATAAATATATTATTATATAACAGGGAGAAATACAAATGGCCAATTATCCAGTATTACTACACATGTGGAGCTTCAAAACATTCTAAAGACTTGAAAACAACATGAATTAGATTATCAGCACCATTAAATTATTCAGAACATAAATCAGTTGAGCTACACCAGGAAAATACAGAATATTGCCTTTTTAACATTATTATCAAGGTAATGTATCACTATAGGTTTTCATGATTTGGTTCCACTTGGGGTCTCACACCATGGTTACCAAAAGACCTAATAATTTTGCCATTAGTTCTTGCCAGGAAAAAGACTGCCTGATACCAAGCTTGTGTAAATCAATATGTAGGTACATCAATCTGAAGTCCTCTGTGCAGAGTTCAAATGCACTCGTAAATAAACTACTTCTCTGAACAGTATCAATTATTCACCTGGACCTTCTATCAGATTGCAAAAACTCAAAAACAATCAATTTACATTTAAAGGAGCTTAAAAAAGTAATCAAATGATCTTAATGTTGTTCAAGTTGTTGTTCAACACAGCAATCTTGGATCCAGACACTAAAAAAAATGTTTTGCACTGACATCAGACCTGCCTTATTGAGAAAATTTTAGACCTTTCAATTTCTACACTACATGAAAGCATACCTACAAAAGCTTTTGCCCCTACACTTGGGACTTCATCAGTCACACAGATGTCAGGAGAAAGTGTATAGTGAATAATATAGTGAGAGTTGCTCAGTATAACACTGTCCCAAATTGGAGGCAGGTTGCACCTCGCCCCGTCCTTGTTCAGTGTAGAAATCAATAAGTTGAAAATTTTCACAAAAGGATTAACAATACTACACAGATCAATTCTATCAGAGTATCAGACTTACCTGTTTGCTCTCTTCAGGTCACTCACAAACTCTGCAGATTGCTGGTGCCGAATTTCAGAGTTTCTGGAAAGTTTTTCAAGTGTGGCTACCAACTCCTGTACTCTTGCCTTCAGCTTCTTCTCTCTTTTCAGGGATTCTGAGAGGTCTTGTGCAATTTGAGAGGCATTATGGGAGCGTAGTTCAGCCAGAGTTATGGCAGGAGTTGACGTATCCAACTCCTCCTCCTGTTAAAAAAAAAGACCATAAAATAGTTGGTTCAAACATTCTTGTTTAATTAGGAGTTTATGTAGCAATGATCACAAATGGGTTTGATAATAAAACTATTCATTTCTTACAAAAACAATTCAATGATTAATTTAACTTATTCCTCATGTTACTATCACTCAAACAGGTGTTAGGTTGAGCTGTTTTTTTTTAACACTAATAGGGCATTAAATCATCAAAAAGCCAAATAGATGTATTGCACACATGATAAAATAGTGCACTCTACTTAATGCCCTTTTCCAGTCATTCTTCCTTATAAACAATGCCATACATTTCCAAAAACAACGACCGACTGTTGTTGATACCAGAATCTCTCAGAGTTGTTGCTTGTATCTCTCAAATAGATTAATCTACTTACTATTCAGGCCATTTGTTGGTTAACAGTATTTATGAGAAAAAAAAACAAAGTGAGTAGGTGAAACAATTCATTCACCAAAAGTTTTATGTGATGTCTTGGACCTCAATTTTCTTTGGACAAGTAGTGAGCAATGGAGTACAAGAAACTATGTGTAATAAGTCCGTGTTCTGTGATGAAAATAGCAGATCATTTCTGACTTAATGGGCCAAAAAATAGCACACTCTTTATGAGTTTCAACCTAATCCCTGCTAAAAATAAAAGATACGCTCATTATGCTGCTGCCATTCTGTGTATAAGAAATCTATTACATCAGCCCCTCAATAAATCCTAAATCAAATTCCACTTTATCATCCACCATAATTTTCATAATTTCTGAATAAATTGCCATTGGAATCAATCACACCACATCAACATGTGTGCTTTGGAAATGCATAAGGTTTCAAAAACATGACAGCTTACCTTTTTCTTATTTGAGTAGGTGGACAGTTTTTGCTGCTGTTCTTTAATCTCACACTTGAGATGATCAATTTGTACCATATAAGCTTGTTCCTGAGATTCCTTTCCACTCAAGCGCAACTGCAAAGACTTCAGTTCTTTCTCAATCAGATAATTGTGTGCTTTCAGCTCTGCTTTTTCTTCCTGTCAATAAAGAATTTCATACCATTATTCATAAAAGTCATAGGCCACTTCAAATACTCAAAACCTTTGCTAATCACAATCTTTGCTTTTCAAGTCTTCTTTGCTAATTCTACGTTAATTCGCTTCTTTAGATAAGAAATATCATGTGATAGTAGTAATTATATCTTTTCTACTTCAACACTTTTTCCGATTTCTGTTTTTCTTCAACTTATCCAATGTTTAATGAGTTATTCTGTTCTGTTCAAGACAGTATCTTTCAGTCCTGAGACTGGCTTACTATCAAACACATAAAATATATAAATTATAAATAAAATACAAAAATAAGTCGATATATACATATTTCATCTTGTCGATTTATGATTTTTTCTGATGCAAGATTTATCATTAAAAATATTGATAAAAAATTATGATAGAGTTATCCTGAACAATTTTTTACCTAGACATATAAGATGTTTAATGATGGTTCTGAGATCAACTTTAACAACAATAATAATGAAAAAAATTTGTTTCCTTTCACTTGCAGCATGCAATCCTAAAAAGACTCTGATGGTACAAAGCAATCTATCATAGCACACCCATTAGTTTTTGAGTGTAAATGCATTAGTGTATTAAAGACAAATATGGACTTGTGAACTCACAGTTCTACCACAGATGAGATGCCTCAAGGCAGTAGTTGATACAATCAGAGACTTAAAGAGTCTTGCATATCCAGATTCCTCACAATGCCCTGACTGGGTATTCCACAAAATTAACTAATTATTTGCATAGTGCTCATAGGTACGCTCATCCTATCTATTTTTGACAATGTTTATGCTTTGGAAAGTAATACCAAGGTGAGATACCTCACCTATAGCTACACATGTATGCACTTCAAGAATGAAAAATACATATGTTTTCAGCAAAAAAAGTAATTTTTTCATATAAGGAAACAAAACTGCACCACCCACTAATAAGTCTCCTCCAGCTCCATTGGTATATTAATTTCCCCTGACACCTCATTTTGTATATGTCCATTCCATGTGGAAAGCATGGCACATCAAGACCATTGCCCTAATGAAATCTATATGTCATTAGGAGAAATACAGGGCTTCAGGCAGGTGTGATCAATGTGTATGATTAAAGCAAATATCTGTATAAGTCATTCTTTTTTTTGGTTAGTTTAAGTTCTACCCTTAAATGTATTTATGTTTGGGAAACACAGACTGTAGACCAAAAAGAGCAGGGTTTTTTTTTATTGCACAATAAAAGTTGCTGCTCCTTTTTATTGCTGGTAATGATTCAATTTTATTTTCGATATTGGTAATATGTCTTCTGGGATTGTGTGCTAACCAGAGATATCCTTTAAGAAGGAAAAGACACTTAGTCTAAATCTTACAAACATTTGTTATTAGTGATATCCAAACTGTTGTGGGACTGTGTGGGATTCATCAGTGATAAGAAATATAAGCTTCATTTAGCCCCTTATACTATGCCAGTTCCCACTGCAAAACAATGGACCGGAATGTAAAACTACACGGCATGCCGCACAGCACCCGAAAATAGCCTTTTGAACAAGAATGAGATCAAACTAACAGAATGCTTTACAATGATTTCATTGCCTGACACTTCCAGGGATCTTGTAACCAATCACCTGCAGAGGCTGAAACTTGTAGGTGTTGCTGGGAAGCAGACAAAAAGCTTTCACAGCAGTTCGGGTTACAAGCGTTCACAACTTAATTCAAGCAGAAATAAACATAACCAGCAAACGTCATACACAGGCACCTCCCAGATGAATATACAATTAAGCCTACTTAGTGGGATTTTATGTTGAAGGGCTTTTCTTCTTTATATCACAGTCTAAATGAATTGAGAAGACTTGGTCAAAAAAGGTTTAATACTGAATTCTTGCAAGTCTCGTTTCTCTTTCTCTTTGAGAAATGAATGTCTCCACCAAACCCCAGGGACAGGAGCTTGCCTGTTATCTGGCCCTGAGCTTGAGACAGGTGATTTTCTGTAGAGGACTTTCAGTACAATCACTATGGCTAACAAGTGAGTTAACTCATCATATAGTCAGATTTTCTTTTGACATACAAGAAGACTTCAATTTTTTAATGATGAAGAAAGTGACAACTGGCAAAAATGGAAAAGTAAACACATCATTACATTGCATTATCATTACATTAGATGAACTAGAGAGTACCATGGATCCACTTGGTCCTTCAATGGTGTTTAATGGAGTAAAAATGGTGTCAGTCAGAGTACTGATCCTGAAATAAAAAAATAGAAAATGCCACCAACACTACCTTGAAGCTCAGGGTTATAAAATCCAGCCTTACCTTCATAGCCATCAACTCTTGCATTATCACAGCATTCTCCAGGTCTAGCCTTTGGAATTCAGGGTTAAGGCCAGGGGTCTTGGCCAGAGGGTCAGTGTGGACACTCTCCAGCTCCAGGACAGTGGATTTCACTGCAGCCCGGTCATTCTTTAACTGTTGGATATAATCTCTCAGCCTCTGCTCGTCCACTTTACTGAACTCGGTGTCCACACTACTGGCTGTAGAGCTAGTGGTGCTGAGGAGGGAAAAAATAGCTAAAATTTTATTTTGGGTCTTCTCTAATCCCAATGTATAAAATTGTTATCAAAACAGAGTTGGACACTTAAAAGAATCGATACCAAAACTTTCTTTACTGAAGTGTACCATTAAGGCTTCTTACAAAAAATTATTTTAGATTTTTTAAAAATTTCTTCAGAACAAAATGTTTTATCAATCAAAGTCTTTCTTTAAGATAACCAGTCACTTTCTTTCTTGGTAATGTTAATTGTTAAACAGGTGCTAAAGGGTCACATTTAATATTTATAGTTCAATAAAAACAGGACAAGAAAAAAACTCACTTCCCATTCTCTAAATAAAGGCGGGAAATATCATATAAAAGATCTAAATGCTGGAATTCGAAAAGCTGTTGAAATCTTGGCACCTCCCATACCTGGTTGTTCTGCTTGTTGATGACATGTCTTCCCATGGTGTGGTTGCTGAAGTAGTGCCTGGCAAATTGAGACCACCATTTCTGTCCATCTTCTGTAACAGATGCCTGGCCATGTTCTCTGCAGATTTACGTGCTCCGACTGCACGACGTAATGCCACTGCCACTTCTTCTTGGTTTCCACTATATGCATCATCACCTGCAGATATAGAGGTAATATGACATCCCAGAAAATGGTGAAAAAAATTAATAAAATTCTCATTTCATATAAACATTTTGTATCAATTTGTGTTGTCCATAAGTCATGGTGAAAATAATTCTAAAACACCTTTAACTTGCTTAGAAATATAAGTACAAATTAAGTCCATTTAACAAAAACAAAAATGACAGAAAACTCATTTGCCGATCCCAAATTCCATCTAATAGTGCATCCAATGGCCAATTTGAAAGTACTTTTACTGAAAGTCATTTATGAAATTGCCTTTATCATCTTCATTACAATGTCACATATCCAAATGACAAAGTTGTTACAGTAATGAGAACTTCCACCTTACCAAAACCTCCCAGCCCTGCAGCTCTGCAATTAGCCAATAAAACCCCTTGATCTGTCTCCAATAGATCAACCAATGCCTGGTACCCCTCTAGGGACTGATCTGCATAATTTATAGCCAACTGTAATGCTGTATTGTTTGACTCGTATTTTCCAATCAAAATACTTAAGCGATCACACTGAGCTTTACTTTCTTCTAGTGTTATATTTGCCAAGTCATTCTGAGATTTCAAATGGTCTATTTTCGCACTGAGTCTTTCCATTTCTATTTCAAATTCATGGATTTTGCCTTCTGAAATTTCGTCTCCACACTTGTATAAAGTCTGTATGATTTCCTGCATATTTGAGCACTCTTGAAGGCTGTGCGCTAAATGTTCTGCCACTTTGGGATTAGGAAGCTGTAACAATAAAAAGTATTGATAAACAAAATAATGCTGACATTACATTTTATACACTGTATTATTTGTAGCAATGATATAACTTATTAAGTTATATCATATTAAGTTATATCATAGATTTCTTTTGTTATATAAAATTAAGTGTTTCAGATATTCAGTTCATTCAAATTTCCTTTAAGGAAAGCATATAGGAATGCAAATAAAAACAAACTCTGCTCAATGACATTTTACATGAAGCTGCACATTTACAAGCAGGAATTAACTGTGTTAAGCCAGGGCCCAGCTCTGTTAACTTTTTTAAAAACTGCATATTTGGCATTTAACATACTATTCACAGAAAAGAAGCCACCATGTCACACAATGACATACATCAATAGCGGATAAAGCCTTCCAAACCTCATACTGTCTTCTGAATCACTATAAGCCACCAGTGTATGAAAACCACTGTATACAGCTTGGAAAGGAATCAGAACCAGGGACAATATCATATAAGTCAGGCGCAAAATGTTAAGCAAAGCATTCCCAATTAATTCCACCTTACCCCTAAGGAAGCAATTTCAGTTCCAAGCACCTGCCGTTCAGCACCACCCGTTTTAAGTTTTTTCAATTCTGCCACCTTAGCAACTGCCGCTACTTGCTCCCCAGGTGGCAGTGTCCTGTCACCCATCGCCCCAACAGGACTCATGGGGCCACCTGTTGGCTGAGTTTTGGTTGGCGTGGAAACACGACTGCTATGTGGACTAGATGATGCTTCCACACTCTGGATTCGGGTCTGGAGTTCACGGACCTGGCATGATGAGAAAATATAAGTCAGCAAGTGGTACAGATGCAGTTCTTTCTATAATCAGTTATTTGGGAGAATGTGATCTCAATTTCGTCTTTTTTCCCTCAAATATCACTCAAGCATTTCAGAGTTTAAATATATAATAAATAGCTGAACCACAGAAACACTGAATAACTAATCTGGACTGAATATTGTCTCAGGTACATGTACAAATTTATTTTTCAATACTTTTCTTCGAAGCCTGTCCCTCTCTTCTCTCAAGCCTCCCATCTGTGCTTTACACTTGTTGAGCTCAGTCTCTTGTCTGCCTATCTGGTCCTGAAGAGATGCATTGTCTGCACGCAGGAGTTGGAGCTGTAAAAGAATACAGGAAATATTACTGAAACATTGCACTGTAACTGTCTTTTGTGAGTCAAGGGTACAATGTATGTAAAGCAAATGTACAGAAAATTAGTGGAGGCAGATATCAAAACACACACACACACACCATTAATGACAGAATAAGTGTTTCTACTAGAAGAAATGACAATCACTGTCTATGCAGATATAGGCATGGTAACAAGATGGAAGAAAAAGTAAGAATTTTTTTAAAATAAAGTATGTGCAGCAAAGATATAAATCCATATTTCCCTGAAATCTGAGAATTGTATAAAGCATGAAAGATACTCCCAATAGAAACTCCATCACTCTCACCAGGCAAAATATATAAATTCTAACTACTTATGTTGTTGATCTGCATTTCTACAGGTAGAATTATAATACAGTTTCTGTCATGATATAACCATTTCGCAGGATCATCTCAACTTGACAAAGCAAAGACAGGTAAAATTCAAGTTTACTATGCATGTACATAAATGTCAAATCAGGTCTGAGGGTATAAAATGAATCTGTAGGAAATTTCGATTAAATAAAAATACAAACCTGCTCCTCATATTGCTTGTGACTGACTTGAACCTTCTCTTTTGGAGTGTCAATGTTCATTTCTTCCATTTCCTTGACAACCTAAAAACATATTATGAAGAAGGTCTGATCAGTTTTTACCATCGTTTTTCATAATGCTTTATGAAAACAGTTTGTTAAAATATTTTACATTTTTGTTATATACACCGAATATATGTGTCTAGATGACTTTCTAGAAAGTCAGTTCAATTCCTGTTAGAATCTCAGTAAATTCTACAAAAGCAAATTTTTGTCATAATTGTCCATTCCTCAAACCTATTAAGCCTGAAAATTACATGAAATTCCCACCTTGTTTGACACACAAATACTTCCAGTTACATTAATTACCTGCAGAGCTTTCTCCTCCACGCTCTCAGTCTCATACTGTTCCACCGCCAACTCATCTGTGGCATCAACGGCTATTTTCTTGCGCTCATTGATAGCGCTCTCCAACTCTGTGACCACCCTGGTTAGCTCAGCATTAAGATCTGCTCCGAGATTGAAGTCTGGCAAAATAATTGAAATAAGGCTTATTCAGGAAATGAAAGAGAGGAATAATGAAAGCCCTTTTCTCCCAACTCTTTCTAATTTTGTGAACATTTTTAAAGATGCTCAGCAATTCCCTTAATAACTCTCTTTTGAAAAAGAAAAGGAGAAATTCTCCTAAAAGGAAATTCCCTATCCCTTGTCATAGCTGCCCACAAACTGCTTCTTTCCACATTTTGTCTACTAGTCTTTTTATTTCTCTCAAAAATAATCATAAAACCATCATTAAGATCTCTCTGTGCTGTTTTTCATGGTACCAGAAGCCAATGCTAAAATGTTAACATTATGTCAGCACGGCAGTTCTAAAATCAGCAGACAGCGGGGAGATAATTAAGGCATGTTTTAAAAGGAGGGAGCTACCTATGCTTGCTGCTTGTGAATCATTGGCATTGTTCTCATTACAGCTCCCAGCTTCCTCGTTACTCTTCTGACTTAGGTTACTCTGGCCCTCAGACTCCTCATACTCATCTTCTTCCCTGGAAACCAGCAATACACTGTCATCTTGGCTGGAGTAATATGCGTTCAGTGATCGCGCGCGCACGCATGCATGCGTTCGTGCGTGTGTGTGTGTGTGTGTGGGGGGGGAGGAATTAAAAAATGACACTTTCTGACCCTCTCTCAATTTTTCTAGATTCACACAAGAACATTTAAATAAATATGTGCCTCCAACACATAAGGGGGTAAATAGCTGATAAGATTAGATAAGATGCCCATATCAGGCGTATGTTATAGATGACACCACAAAAATAAAGTATACAGTTAAGTATTCTAGCCAGCATAAATATAAATCCTCTTGACAGCCACGGCTTTTAAGTCAAAAGCAGTCCCCCCCTTTTTCTGGAATCAATTTAAGTCTGAACATATAAGTAACATTCACACGTGGCTAAAATAGAAAAATTACCTGATCCTTTAACATTGCATCATATAGACAACAATTTTATAAAAAAAAAAAAAAAAAAAAAAATCATACAACCCATTCAGTTGCATCCCCCATATTTCCTTTCATTACCTTATGACATTAATCTGGTGTCTGTCCAGCTTTTTCCTCAGTTCAGCTATTACACTGTGGAGCTCAGTTATTCTCTCCTCGTAACGCTGGGCCTGCTGCTCAAGGCGGTCTGCATACTCTCGTTGAAGATGCAGTTTCTCAGTCTGTTAACAATAAAATATTATATGGGTTTTTAATTTTATTCTCATTTAGCAACTGATCTCAATTTTATTGCTTTAGTACTGAAGTTTTTTTTTGAAGTTCATCTCTCTTCTCATTATTCAAATGTCACCCCATAAAATATATTTTGAATTAGGCACATATCAACACAAATGCCTTTTTGGACATCTAACTAGATCCAGAAATTTATGAATGTTTCACAGACTGCAAGATTTGTGGCACAACTGACCAGAAGAAGAGCAGTGGCACTCAATTTGTGGGAAATGTAATGAGTGCATTTAGCACAATCAGACAACAATATTCAGTTGGGATACAGAAATATTAAGTGTGGTTGGTGTGACCTAGGCCAAGTACTGGCTGTATGACAGATAGCACACCCATTTCCAGTTCAAACATAAGTGATCAACAATGCACAATATGACACTCAGCATGATTGTTTTTTTTTCAATAACTACTAAAAAACAATACCATGAATACTAATTTTCCAAATCTTAGAAGCTATCATGTTGGTATTTTAATAAGAATTAATTTTTTTCCTTACTGCTGTTGCTTTCAATAATGTTTAAAGTATGTGATATGAAACATTAATGCACAATGCTGGTCTAGTCTAATCAACAAAAACCATGACATTTAAATGCTGTTTACAATCATCCTGATGATTCTTGGCTGACACCTATATGTATCAAAGTGCTATTTGAAGTTAGGGTACTTATGTCATAAGAATTTTTGTTTATTTTTGCTTAGTTTTTGCAATATCTCTCTAAAAATGCAGCAGCAAAAGCAGAGAGACAGAGACAGATAAGCCAGGGCACAGAATATTGCTACCATATGGCATACATTTCTGTTATTATTGATGTTCCTGCACACATCCCAGGAGCAAGCACTTCCAATCCCTTATCAAAAGTAATTAAATTCAAAATGCCAGCTAATAGGATTGATCAGTTTTTGGAGCCTGTTAATTATGATTGTTTGACATTCAAACTGAGTCACGATGAAAGCAGAATAATCCCAGATTATTTGATTCATCCCCAGAAAATTGAATTACACTTCCTTCTCATTCCATGCCCACAAACAAGTGATATTATATGACGTAGTGCAGTGTCCTTCAAGCTCTAAGCAATGGCCAACTTGACTGCATCTCTCTTTTTTTTTTCAAATAAATTGACAAATCTAATTTCAAGGCTCACTACACAATACTGCATCATCACAAACAAAAACCACAAAGGAACAATTTAATCCATAGTCTTAAGACGAGAATACAGATGAAAAACAGATGAAAACTTTATACATATGAAGAACAATGGAATTTGATTTTTTACTTCCTTGAAGGAACTCAATTGGTTTGATGAAGTTGGCAGAGAAGAGTTGACCGAAAAAAAAAATCACACTGGGTTGCCCTTTATAAACAAGGAAATCACTCTTCCCGTTTTAAAACCACAATTAGCCTGTCTGTTCATTCTACTCACACACTGAATGTCAAAGTCATGCCAAAAAGTCAAGGTCAGCAATACAAAAATCTCAATCACATTATTCATTAAAAAAAACAACATACCTTATTATCAAAAAGAATTGTTTCTGTTATTGAATTGATATTGTTTTTAGGTGTTGAAGTTATGCCAAATGATTTGTTTGCTTTCTGTAAATCTGAAACTGCTAGTAATCTAGGAGTGCTCTCAATTCTCCTATACGTCTACCATCTAGGAAGACTATGGCTACTGCAAGGCCTTGGTGTCATCTTATTTACAGTAAAATACAATAGCATTTTTCACTAACTCAAATAAATAGCTTAAACTAGCAACAAAAAATGTGACACTCATATATAATTTTATATGCTTTGATGACTGAATAAGAAATTGAAAGCTTCTTCACAATCTTCAATACTTTCCACAAAATCTAACAACTTGGTATTCATGAGCAGCATCACAAGGACAATAGCCAAGTGTTCTTTTTTTACCGCTAAATATGTACTTACATGGACTTTGTTCAGCTGCTTCTCCAGTAAGTCACGCTCTGAGGAGACATGATGAAGTCGGTTGGTCAGGTCCAGGATTTCACCTTTCAGAGAGGTCAGGGCTGCAGCATGTAACTATAAAAAGAAAAAAAATATATATACTTCTAAATATAGTCAAATGTCTTACCACTCTAGCTACCACTTGTCTAACTCCTGTGTGTGTCTTATGACCTTGTGGGGCCAACTTTTCATAACCAGACTTCATCATTAATAAAAATCTGTTGTTGCCTTTGCTGGGTTGCATGGATACAACCAAATAATTGTCAATAATTATAATAATAATAAACAAACTATTTTTGTTTCTTCTTGTGAATGCTCAGCAGTTAGTGGCTTAGTACATAATGAGATATATAAACACTCTTAATAAAGATATATTTCAATATTCTACAAGAAACAAATTGTAAGGGGATGGGATGATGGGCTTATCATGTTATACTGCCAAGTATAATCTAACTTGAATTATACACTTTTCATATTAGGCATATAAAACAGAGCCTTGCTTGCAAAAATGGTGTTAATATCACCAGTTATATGCATGGGCATGAGCAGCTCAATCACAGGAGGTCATGATCACAGCATGGGACACACAAACCTCTACTAGATTTGAAAGTAACATATAAAACAATATCTAATAATTGCCTTCTTTTTAAACAGTTTCACTTACATCAAAGTTACTTGCTTAGATTCAGTTTGAGCAACTTTTATTGTTGCTGCATTATATGTCTAGTTAATTGCCATCTTAATAAATGTGAGTAATATAAATAAAAGATCTGAGTAAATCATTTGCATAATCGTACTTTAAAATGTATTAATGATTTAGTCGCACTCAAACTATAAGATTAAAACCTGTCAACATGCTAGGCTAATTAGGATGCTAAAAACAGTTTTATTAAGTACCAATAAACATAAGGATTACAAAGGCAAAGAACCATCACTAGAGCTAATATTGACATAAAATATAATAGGATTATGAAGACTTTTCATCTGTCAAATTACCCATCAGAACTGGAATAAACAGCCAAGAGACACTCTAAAAATCTAAAAACATTGATTGCTTATATCTCAAATGTCAGGACAATTTCAATCAGGTTCTTTTTTCTGGTTTAGTCATAGCAGACATAGTATCATATTCATTTCTTTTTTTCATATTTGACAGGCACACACTTTATTTTTAGGACACTTTAAAAGATGTGTGATTTTCATGTTTCATCAGTCTGTACAATATGTGAAAATAATGGGCTTGGGAAAGTATACCCAGACTTCATTAAGATTGCTGTGAGATTAACTGGGAAGCAATCACTCTGTAAATTATTATCTCTTCAAAGTGTGTTTAGTTATGTGTGTGATACCCAGAATGATGGATGTACTTTCAATGTATGCCACTGCTCTGAGGCAGGACCTCATTCTGTGCACTTGTCAACATATGAAATATCTTTCTGAATGAATCTCTTCTACTGAAAATATATACAGATCACATTTCTCTTTTTCATAACCTTTCAGACTGCACTTTTAATTTTCCACCTCTGAATTTATATTATAACTAGGTCCACTCTCTGAGAACAAAGACCCCCACCAATGAAGGCAAAATATAAATAATATGAAAAAAATATATATATATATTTAAAAAGTATAAGGAGATAAAAATCCAATTGAAATGGCAATCACTTGACTCTTGAACTGTCTATTCTGAAAATTTCATCAAAATTTGAATTTGAGAACTCTTGAAGAAATCTTGTCCACAAACAAATCAAGGCCAATGAAATACACCCACTGTCAATGTGGTAACAAAAGAATACCCTATCTTAACACCACAGTTTTCTTGTATCTGCCTCCAACACTGCCTGCCTGGCTCTGACTCAGCCAAAACAAAGGAAAACCACAGTTAACACAGCGGACATAGGTTGCCATTGTTTTTAGTTGGATTATATTTTGCTGAAAGTTTACAAAGAATACAACAAATTATTGTGATCCCTCTATCTTCATGTATGCATGAGTGGCCACAAAGTTTGGATAACTTTGTCTATTGTAAAAGCAAATCTTGGCTAAAACAAATGCTGTCTGGTGCAGAAACACTTGCAATCACACAAACTATAACTTACAAGTAAATACACATGCCAGTTATCATATCTTATCAGACCTACAAAGAAGTTCACATTCAAGTGAAGTCAGCCCACATCAAACATACAGTTTCTCCCCCGTGTAACCTCACAGAGGCAGCCAATCACTGAAATTCATATATGCGTTCCTCTCAAGACTGGTCTCTTCTCTCAAGATCAAATGATTACCCCTTCTCTCCTTTTTATGACCCTTCCCTCCATCCTTCCTTCCATCTCAGGACTAACCTCTTCTCTCCATCTCAAAACTTATCCTTCCTTTCATCTCTAGACTAAACCCCTTCCCTCTACCTCAATAATAACCCCTTGATGGCTTCTCCTCTGCTGTACATACTGACAAATGACATAATTTGAATCAATCAAGACATGCCTATGTAACCAAGTGAAATGCCATATTAAGAAATAATTGATATCCAATTATTATTTAAGTTGAAGGGGGGGCAGCCATATCTTACCTCCTCCTGCAGGTTCTGTGTCCTTATATATCTGTTCATCATGTTGCTGCTGTTTACTCCAGAGATGTCCTCTACAATAAGGCCATGCTGTATACACTTGTGATATAACAGCACGGCAGGTACACTGAGTCACAAAGTGCCCATACACTGTGTCTTGCAATTGTTTTATGAGAGTAATTACACTCCCCTCTGGTGGATACCAAAGTGTTACATAAACAGATGCCTGAATCTCTGATCAACACTCAGGTATTCCTGGCACAGAGTAATAAATATACACACCTGGAGTCAAACTTACTGACGAAGACCATGTAGTAATGACCAAGACTTATAAGTATCTTATTAATTACAGAATGACTGGTGATAGTAACCTGTGTTTTCTTCAAGGGTCGGTTTAACTGTTTATAAAGAAATTCTTACAAACTCTTACTGCAAATAACGTGATAACAATCTACACTCCTTTTTATTTTGCTTTCCTTCCTTACACGATTGTCCAACTCCCCAAAAAGAAAGTTCTGTAAATAAATCATCTATTATATAAAAGTCATGACCCACAGATCCAATTATATCCACCTGGGAAGGAGAAAGAAGTGTTTCTTTTTTAGCCAGCAGGGTCACAGTGTACTACATGAGTTATAACACCAACTTCATTAGTCCTGCCATAATTCCCTATGTATTCCTGTCACCATCCAGGTCATGTGTAATGAATAACAACAAATATTTTTTCCATTGAGGTGTGTGTAAGATTCCCCTGAGCCCTGGAAGTGGTCCAGATTCAATTAGTTCTTTATGCTTCTCTGCTGTAACTGAGACTACAGAGTTCCAGGTGTCCTTAGCCCAAGTAAACAGTTACCTGGATTTTATCATCAAGTCTTGATTCCTCTGAGACAACTTTCACAAAGTCCCTGGTATCCTAAGCACAACTGAAGTCGCCTGGCTACATGTTTCTGGCACATTGTTTTCCCATAGTTCTTCATGTACTGGGGCACTGGCAAGTCTTAACACCAATACCTTGTAGACCTGAGATAGTAGGGTTCAATCCTAGAGTAGACAAGTTTACACACATAATAACACATACATCAGACAAGTCAAAATTCTTATTTCCTGTTTCAGAAAACTGACCAATGGTGGTCAACTTGTCTTGACTCCTGATCCAAATCTTCCCTAGTATACCACACAGCACTGTGTCATATACGGAGTTAAAAATTACAGCCTGGCTTATATTAATATCACATGAAACTCATCCTAACACACTGGTCCTGGAAGGGCAGTTTACCTGTATCTAACACCTGGTCCTGGCTCTGGAAACTGTGTGTACCTGGTTATCTCTCAGCGGTCACTCCTCATGCCTTGACCAAGTACCAATTACAAGATAACTAGCTGCCAGAATGAGTTAACAGCTTAAATATCCTTCCCACACTAATCGCTTCAGATATATTTACAACTGGAAAACCTGAGGTACACAGATAACCCAAGAACTCATCAGGGAAAAGCACAGCACCAAAACTTGGGGTGTAAACAAAACAGCTGCAAAATTTCTGCTTTTTCTGTGCAAGATTTGCACCAATGTTTCTTGCTCTGTAAGGTTCCCTTTGTGTGCCATTAATATCATATTATTGTTTTATCTCACAAACATGCATATTTGACACAAATTCAACATGTATCCACTTTATCAATCATAACCAATAATTGTCTGATCTCCCCACTCTTGTCTTTGATAAGAAGTCTCAAAAGACTTCTATCAAGAATTTAAGAGTGCTCTGTCTCTGTAGCTAGTGATTTGGCTGCTGAAAAAAATACAAAATCAACACAGTATCCATCTCAATGTAGTGCTCTATGTGCAGTCCAATATTTGCCCAGATAATGCTAAGCCTAAAGTACATATCTCTCGTGAAAGAATTCCACAATATCTGTGAAGCAGGTATCCGGAATTATTTCAAAAATGCCCAACAGAGAGTAGGATCTTGGGGAAAAAGATGAAAACATAAATCTTGAGTCTTCTGACATCACTAGCTGCTACATACATCCCTCATGCCTAGAGAAACAGAACGTCCAATACAGGGAGGCAGCGGACTGAGTCACCTCCTTGAAGGAATAGAGACTTCCAAAAACCATGTGTAGTTATCTGGCATCATAGTAATAGAATAAACAAATTGATCTCCTAATTCAACTGCTGGTGCTGTTATCCCTTGCTTTGTTACTCAATAGTTAAATGTATATCTGCTATGCCTCTGACTTATATTGCTGCCTTATCAGAGGAAGACACATAAGTAGACAATGGTAGAAAACTGTAATCCTGGCATTTCTTCTCAATGAAATACTGCGATGTGCCTTAACCACTGCCCAACCCGTCCTGTTTAAGGAACATATATGGCAAGATTCTGAAGCCCATTTTATGAAATTACAGCCTACTAGAGTGTTCCTTTTTTTTCCAGAGTTTCTCTTTCATCAATCATACAGGACTCTGCCAGTTACTCCATACTTAAAACATATTTCCACTTACTGTTTT